AACAGTAAACCACCACTGTTCTATTTATATACCTGAATATGTACACCCTGGGCTCCTGCAGGAATCCTGACCTCGACTCGCCCCTCCCGCAGGGCGACCTTGTAACCTCTCTCTGCGATGTCAGATTCACTCAGAAAATGGCCGTTCACGTCGATCCTTACGCCCCTGTCCCTGAACTGCCCATGAACTAGAGGAGAAACAGCATAGGGGACGGTCCACAGCAGGTCAGAACCATCTGCTGTGGCCTCACCTGATGGTAAACAAAAAAAGGAAAGAGACACAGAAGAAGAGGGGGTTACATCTCAGAGACAGCATTTTTTTTTTTTAGTCTGCTGAATTGCACCGCAGGAATAATTTGATACGAACTCAGAGCACAGGTAACAGAGATGTCAACAGCCAGGAAGGCAGCTCTGTACAAGATGACTGCACTGACGATCTCTAGATCCACTCCTTTTTCCTGGGGAACATAATCCAAAACATTCAGAAACTGACACTAAAAGCAAAGGTTTACAGGAAGTAAACAGTGCCGCCTCATCCCCAGTAAACCATACGGTACCTTGACGAAATATGACAGCGGGGAGGAATAGGGACAGCGGAGGATGAGACGTGAATTGTGCAGAAAGATGTGGTAACCGAGCGCAGAAGCTTGTCTTAGCGACAACAACATGGCTTCCTCTGACCCCGGATCGCCTGTGTTGAACATAACAGCCACATCTGCCTCATCAAGTCCCTGTTCAGTAAAAAGAAGAGTCTAATCAGTGAATAGGTGTAAGCTATTAGGCCAATGTGTATGAGGTGACTTTTTATAGCCCTTCCTATATTAGGAATTCTGTCACAATCATAGCAAAAAACGCAAAGTCATGAAACAAATATGTGTAGTCTACTTACATCCTTCTTATTTTGGGACATGACAGGTAGTATAGGTGGCTGCAAGGAGATCTAGAGGGAAAACAACAAGGCTTGATGCACCCTCACATGTTGCACAAAAGGACAGCACCAAAAGAGAAGTTCACTTTCAAATTAAAATACATGTAACAAGTCTATTGCCATTGAAAAATCTGTATCATGTAGCAGCTCTAAGCAAAAGTTCACACAGGAAATGGAGGCACTGCTTACAGATGGAAACATTTTTAAAGGTCTTAGACTCTTCGAAAACAAAAATAAGTAATACATTTTAGAAAGAACACTGTGTAAAAAGAGAAACCACTTTACTTCCAGTGAAAATACCAACAGAAATCTAAACAGAAATCTTATTGCAGTTGTTCCATACCACATGGATCTTTTAAATAAATGTCCTATTGTTGTCACAAGTACCAAATAAATGAAGTCTAGTTCCTAATTAATCTTTCTCAGGTTTGAATTTTGATGGATTAAAGTTCACACTGTTCTGAACCTTGTGCATAGAAACAAAAAGGAAAATATAACCAGTAACAAGAGTGAGAGAATATGCAATTACAAATGTGATTTCACCTCCATGTAGTTTTCCTCACAGATGATCTCTCTCGTGCTCCACTGCCCCTGCATTGAGCAGTGAAGCTGAAACGGGTGCGCTGTCGCTTTGCCATCCGCCTGAATATTTAAGAACCACAGACGCAGATGATAGTCTGTTCCTCTCTGCAGAGGGGAGATACAAAATAGGAGTTTCAGACGAGCGGTCATAATCCTGCAGCACATCAGAGCACCTCATTGAACTGCATCTACCTGACTGACGTGACAAGCCAGGAACGAGGCACGAAACACAAGGTCTCCAACGTCATTGATCAGGATGGTGTAGCCGCACAGAGTGACTTCCTGATAAGTCAGGAGGTGAAATCCAGACTGGTCTGGTGGCAACAGACATTTATAATGAGATGATTATCATTTACATCATCAATAGCAGCAGAAACTGGTGTTCCTAATAGCTTCTCTGGTGCCTGAACTTTGGATGAGATACTGTACCTTCGAAGTAAAATCGAACCGTCGGAGCAAGGAAGCTGGACTTGACAGAAAGCCAGAAGTGACGCTCGAGGCACTTGGTTTGAAACATTCCTGAAAATATGAAGAGTGGCATCAATTCTCAAGCTTCAGTACAAAAAGTTATATATATGATAATGTTAGGGACTCATTGAAATTGAGAATGCATCAAATTGAGATGAAATTATGATATACATTATTCTTCAGCCTATCTATCTATCTATCTATCTATCTATCTATCTCTTTTAATCCATATAAAATCCTCACAGGACTTTCACTTTTACAAACACAATTCTTTTGGAGTCTGACACAAATCTCCAAAGCATATCCTTCTTTCTGCAAATCTAAATCTGTTTCTATGACAGCTCCAACGATTAAATATATATATTTTTTTATTCAAGTCTGTACATTTAAACAATCCTTTAACTTTAGAAAAGTATTTGTGTGCAACACAATCCCACCACAGGCCATCAAAGTTCAGATTTTGTTAAGTGATCACAATATGTTAACTGTAAAAGTACAAATTCTCACAATAAAACGTGTAACACATACCATAAATGTGATCACCATACCTGGGATTGCCTGTAAAATGTGTCATGTAGTCATGTTGGAGAGCATAAAAACATCAGTAGTATTGCTTTCTGGCAAAGTCATTTTCAAAGTTAGAAGTTCAAAAGTGACAAAGAAGCAGGACTTTAACACTAAATAGGAAAGCATTGGAGAATAACTTTAAAATAACATCCACACCTAAACCTCCACCTTCCTAAAAGAGTTCACTGGTGCTTTCTCATTTTTGTCAGACGTTATAAAACAGACTTTTTACTTGGCATACTGTTACCAAACTTTTCTTACCTGCAGCCACTGGGCTGGCAGCACAGGGAGGAGCAGCCATGAGCACCAGCACACTGAAACAAACACACGTCTTCAGTAAATGGTCCACGCTGACGCCAGCTATCTCCGGCCTCAACACTTTGACACTTACCCGCAAAAAACATCGAAAAATAAAGACACTACTGTCATTCTTAAAGCACATTTAGATGTAGTCGTTTTGAAATACTGTCGGTATTATTTACCTTTAGGTCACCTGTTGATTGAAGAGCTAATTAGCACGCAAGCGCTGGTTCTTCTTCTTCTTCTTCGTCTTTTAGAGTTGCGTCCTTTAGCTCCGTTTTCTTGAACATCTTCTTCATAAAGACACGGGACAGATATCACAATCAACCTCGAAATATTTAAGATAAATAAATGAATACACGTTTTCTCTGGGGATTTATGTAAATCGCTGATTTTGGCATGAAAACTTAAATAATTAATTGAGTCACGGAATGAAACCACGATCCTACAGTGACCCCTAGTGGTCAGAGTGTGACATGCCTCTCAATAAATGCTGAGTGTTTTTACAACTGTGGACACATGGAGCCTAAAACTGAGAGTACTTTGGTCTTATTTATTATGGTTTATGGATCACCATAATAAAACACAAGACTTTAGGAAACAGCTTAGATTTTTTTATAAACAGTTAATTAATATCCTTACGTTTTTGCTTAACTATGTCATGTTATTTTCGAGCAGCTGAATGTCAGATGAATGGATCCAGAGCTATTTTTTTTAAAGATACTTGTAACTTCTTGAGGGAAAAAAATATTCATAAAACATCAGTGGGTTACAGAAAAAGAAAAAAAAGTTGAAGCATTTGATAAAAAGTTATTTTTTTAATTTTAATTTTTTAGTTTTTTTTTTTTAAGAAAAACTTATGGTGGAGAAAATATTCTCCTTTGGGGTTTTGTGGCAGAGGATAGAGGGATGAATGGATTTAATATCAGCAACATACATCAAAACATTAAGCATTTATCAAAAAGTTTTTTGAGCAATTTTCTCAGCTTAACACAAAAAAAATGAGTCCATCTTAAACAAGCTCCACAGACAATACAGCAGAAATAAAATAATGGCTGCAGATGGCAAGCTGTCACAATTTAAATGCAATCTATGTTTGCAGTTTATGAAACAAGTAGTAAGAATGTGCTAAAGAAAGAAAGGCTGATTTAATCTCAGTTTGCTGCAGGAAAATATATCATTTTGTTATTCTATATGTTATAAGAAATTAAAAGAACATTTGCAATGAAGTGATAGATTATGTCTGTTTTTTTCTCATTTGAAGTCAACAATGAACATGAAAAATGCCAACATCTCCAGCATCAGTGGTGACTCTGTCTGCACCTGCATAGACCAAAGCATGCATCCCTTTTAAATCAGCTATGATCTAACTGATTTGTGCATGTACCACATATACTGTATTTCTCCATATTTTAATGAACGCCTTTTTATATGTCACATGATCACCGTGCAACCCTCAGGGTGTCATTTGACTGTATGAAATGAATCAGGTTCATATCATTGCAGTATGTCGTTGATACATTGGGGATCTCAGTATTTGAGCTTCACAACTCCTACATAAATCATCTGTACAACAGTCAGTGAGGCCCTCTTTTATTCTTTTGTTGCCAAGTGAGCTCGCACACACAAGGAATTTGGCGTAGTGAGTGAAACTGTGGTACACAACAATAACAAGACAAGCAATAAGTATAGAAATCTAGATCTAAGACATTCAAAATAAAATATCTGTAAAAGAAAAGTATAAAAGTACTACTTAAATAAAAAGGTACTGTGAAATGAGACATAAACTTGCCTAAACCAAGTGATTAATTAGGAAACTGTTTAAACTACAATACAATATTGCACATGGAATCAAAGAATTGCACATGTAATGGTAATGCACAGAGGTAGTGCAACAGGAGTCTTTAGTGATTTAGTGACTGTTCATGAGGGAAGAAGCTGCTCCGCTGCTGGGATGTTCAGGTCCTTAGAGACCTGAAGCGCCGGCCGGAGGGTAGCAGGTCAAAGAGGTTTTCCATTAGAGTTTTACTGAGCAGCTTTCTTTACATACAAATAGCACAAATTGCCCAGCTTGTATTATATATAAAGCCAAAAGACATGTAATGCATTATTGTCTATTAATGACTGAGGTAAAATCTTGTATTGTGTCTAAATATTCAACTAAAATATTCCTATTAATTCCAGGCTGTCAATTTAAAATTAAAGAACAAAAAATGTAAATAAATCAGATTTGAATGTTTTGGCACAATATGGCTTTTAATTTTTTTTTGTCTGTGTTGTTTTGTTTGTTATGAGAAGGAATAAAAACAAAAGAGTTCCTTAGATGAAGTGATGTTAAGTCATGTTTTCCTCTGACTATAATTTACATGAAGGTTACTGTTGTGCCAGCATCACTACTAAATATGACTCGGTGGAGGAATGCACATCATGATTCATCCATCATATATGTGTAAATCAGCGGGAGAAATTGCCAGCTGCTTAACTCGAGACGAAAATGCTCATTAATCCTGACACGGCCGACACATGACACCATTGTCCTAAAGCAGCAGCAGCTACGGCGGCAGCAGAGACGTGTTTTGTGTTATCATCACAGCGCTGGACACCTCACGCAGCTGGAATCCTGTGCTTCACCACATCTTTCATTACTTGGAAAATGTTACTTTGAGTCAAGTCGTGTCGTGATTAAACACTGAGTAATAGGACTTATTAATGAGAGTCCTGCGGAGAGGACTGAGGAGAAAACAGTCATAGAAAAGGTCAGCGGCTATTTAAAGAATGAAATGTGAAAATGATGATTTGTTCCCTGCTTGACGCAGAGCTTCACCACTGCTAATGGCATTTTCACTTGGTTGCTTCAGGGTAAGAAACAAGAAATTAAAAATGCAATTCCTTCTCTTTAATGTGCAATATTTCAAATTAAGTTTTTTATTTTTGTATTTTGATAATTTAAAAAAAGGTCAGGGGTTTTCTTGGTCACTTTAATGCATTTTTTGTAACCTCTGTTTTAGTTTAATAATTTCCCTGAAATGGAAAAAGATTAGAACTTCTTTAAAATGCGGAAAAGAACAAATTAAAGTCATGTATAGGGGATAAAGTGCTGTCACATCCTTAAGATTCAGGTTGGCGCAATTTGATTAGGCTGAGGAAAGGGAAAACGATTATAGGTTATAGCCTCATTATCGGATAAAATCAAAACATATTCTAACCTTCCTTGTCTGGAGTTTGCAGTCAATGCAGTAAGTTAGCATTTTGTTTTATTTGTAATCACTTTATTGTTGATGACATGACGCCTTTATTTGAAATTCTGTCACAGTTAATGTGTAAATTCTTGAGTTACGACCAAAAATGTGTTTTTGAGGACACAATAACCTTTGACCTTTATTGAGGCCAACTCAGTGTTTGTGCCAAATTTGACAAAATTCCCTCCAAGTATTCAAAAGAAAAATAGGGACAGAAAAATCCTAAAACATAACACCTCTAACAACAGCTGTCATCAGTGCAAAGGCATTACTAGTGTATGGTGGATGTCAGGGCGATGTCTTTTCCAATTGGAGGTGGATCAATGTAGAAATGTTGTTCCTTCAATAATGCACATTTTTCTTTCTTGTCAGAATCTTGCCTACATTACCCACAATGCAACTCCACTTTATCCATTCTTTCAAGGATTTGGATGTGCTATGCCAGTAACAGTTCATGTTCAGGAACCTCCGGCAGAAATGACGAGCCATAAGCTCACTTCTTTCTAGAGATTTTTGTACATTTCCAGCCTCAGGTGACATTACTTGGGGCTCGTAAAGCACCTTATCACATAGATAGTGGTACTTACAGGGACAAGTGATAGAGTGGAAAGTAATTTTTTACTTAAAAGGACCCAGAAGTATTTGAGCGGTAGCCATGATAGGAGCTGGTTGAAATCTTTAAATGCAAAGTAAAGGTGCCTTCTTTCTTGAAAGTCTTTAGCAGAGGATAGACTGAATAACTGTTATGAAGATCCATTTGGCAACTGTCATCTTGTGAGGGGTGGATCTGACAGTGAACTAGATGATGGTAAATGGTCACTTACATAGCTCTTTTACCCAAAGCGCTTTACAATGTGTTTCTCATTCACCCATTCACACACCAATGGTGACAGAGCTGCCATGCAAGGTGCTGCCTGCCACTGGGAGCAACTTCAGGTTCAGTGTCTTGCCCAAGAACACGTTAATTGTGGAGGGGCGGGGGATCAAACCACCAACCTTGCGATTGGGGGACAACCTGCTCTACCACCTGAGCCACCACATGATATTAGGTACGTTGATACAGTAGCGACCTGTCAGTCACGAGGTTAAACATACCCTGCGTTATTAACTATTTTACTCTAAATGGAGCCATAATTTACAAAATTATTTTAAAAAAGTTTTGAAACTAGCAACTGACACTATAAACTGGAAGTTAAAGTGAAGTCATGTTCTCAATCTGACTTATTTAGCTACATAATCTTTTTTAAAATATAAGAATTATGGATAAAAACAGGATGTAATTCAAATCAAAGAGATTTTGACGTCTGAAATATGCTCAAATGGATTCCAAAAGTGACTTTGGATTCGTTGGCTTCTTCACCTCACTATGTAAAGTGTTATGAGATGACAATGGTGCTCTATGAATAAAGTATTACTAAAGTATTCATGTGGTTCAGTGTCACCTGCTATCACTTTCCCCTCTTTTTGAAACATGTTTTGAGGGTTATAAATCCCAAAGGTGATAATACTTAAAAGCGGAACACGATTTTTCTCCTCTTGAACAAAGCAGCTTTGTTGTCATTTATGCAAAAAAGAAAGAAGCGAAAACACTTACTTTGAGTGTTTTGTTTTCAGTGTGACATTTAGTTGGTATTTCTCGTTTATTTTCCACTGACTCAAAGCGATGGCACGAAGGGTGGGGGAGTGTTGGACTAGTTAGCTGCGTCCGGGCGGCCTAATTAACATTTGAGTCACATTGTGTCATTAACAGCGCTGCTATACTTGCAGACCTCATGTTGCGTTTACGGACCCCTACAAAGCTGGGGTGGCTAATTATGACTGACAGACGTTACCATTAAGTTTAAATGCATTCTTGTGTATTGTTTCACTAACAATCCAAAAGTCAGTTCTTTGGGGTCTTGTTGGGGATTTGGTTGATCCATTCCATCATGGCTAATTATGACCTTATCCTGTCCGGTGACACTTCTGTTCACAACCTCCACCACACACCTCCTCATTTCCTCGCATCCAGTCTCCTCCACCAATCACATCCTTTCGTTAGCCTGAGGATGAGGAGGATCAGAAGATGAAGAGGCCTATTTATCAGCTCATCTTACCTTAACAGTGATATCATTCAGCTCTTTCCTTGGACATTTTGGATACTTGCAGCGGTATTGCAAACTATCAGCACTGAAAACAAATTAAGGAAAGATAAGAGTGGGATTTGTCTGTTTGTGGATTAAGGTGGAGATGCTTCGATGTCAGGTGCAGGTTCTCCTGGTGGCTTTATGTTCATCTGTGCTGCTGGTGAGGGTCAGCAGTGCTCCACACTGGGACATGCTGACAGAAACACGAAGAGCAGAGGTCACAAATGACAAGGTGAGTCACTGATGTATGAAATAATTCAAAGCTTGGATTAAGGAAGTGGTCTGATCTGGCTGATTGTTGACATTCGAGAACAACTTCATCCACTGTTTTCTTCCTTACTCGGTCCTCCTTTTAGGATGTGACCCACTTGCTCTTGCTGAAGTTTATGTCCGAGCTGGTCGCAGCGAGAGGAGACGAGACGCTCGGTGAGCTGGAGAAAGAGGCGGTGGGCAGGGAGGGGGCGATGAGGCGAAACGTTCCCGTCTCCCAAAGAGAGCGCAAGGCAGGCTGCCGCAACTTCTTCTGGAAGACTTTCACCTCATGTTAACGCAAGACGAGGGCTGTTGGAGCCAGAGTAGCTTTTACAAAATGACACATTCGCCCATGTTTGCTGACTCTGTGCTGCAAGATAACAAATATGCAGATGTATTTACAAAAAGTAGTAAGGTTGTATATTTAAAGAGTGGCAGGGATGTACATGGTGTTTCAAATAAAATGTTCAGATGTAAAATTGTATGTTTGTCAGGCTGTATCATAATTTTTCTCTCTTTTGTGAAGCTGTATCCCAGATTTTTAGGATTTATACGTATAAACAGGATATGTTAAAGCAGTAAATATTCTCTTATTGTCCTTTACTTTCTATATGTAGCTCAACAGCATCTTTTCAGCTCCACACAACTTTGTCACAATGGTTAAAAATAACGACATCAACAAGCTCAACCTTTCAAACTTAACCCTCCTATTACCTTCAGATTTACTAACATCTGTAATCCTTGGGTTTAATTTGACCCCAGCAATTTAAACCTCCAGAAAATTATCATAATTTAAACTGTCACCCATATTTATCTGTAAACAACCCTTTAAATAAAACTGAAAAAATGATGTCGATCACTTATTTAGAGACGTTAAACTTTGAATGGAGTCAAATTGACTCCAAAGATAACACTGGGTTACAAGAAAAGATTTTTTTTGAAGGTGTCTAGGATTTTTTTTTAACTGATTTCGGACATTTTTGCAACTCTGAATCCAAAAATGACATCTGCTTTTCTGTATCAGGTCAACTCAATTTTTAAAAAAGTCAATTTTGCCACTAAATCGCTAACATTTTTTGACATTAGCGATTGATTTATTTTAGTATTTCTCATACGAAATTGGATTTTAGAGGAATTTCTAATCCTTTTCATAAGCTGAATGATCCAAAAGTTGATGAGCGTAAACATTTGTAAAGGTAAATACAAATAAATTGCATGTTTCATCAGCATTGCTCAAAATTCAGGGCTTGAACTTGCACTTCTTGGAACTCCTGAAATGATCAGCAGCAGGTAAATCTCTCTTCAGAGTCCAGCAGTAATCAGCCATCATGACTGCATCCCAGCATCCCTGATACCTGGTCTCCATCTCTGTCTGATAAAAGCACGTGACTCTAATGTGTTGTTCATAAAGCAGGGGGTAAATTTTCTATCTAAATTTTATTCATATTTATAGTATCAACTTGTAAAGTTTCAGAATTTGTTCATTTCAGGAAATAGAAAAAGAATTTTGTGTGATACAAAGCATAGATACCTGCACATGTACACAAAAATGTAAAAAAAAAGTGCGTGTGGCGACAAATCAAAATTTTGACCTCATTGAGCAAAACCAATGTAATATTTGGATTCAGCACATTCCAACTGTCCAAAATCAGCTCAGAAAAGTTTGACATCAAAATGGGGGTAGACCAGTGTAATAGGAGGGTTCAGAAGAAGGGTGTGCACCGACTTTTAACCAGAACCCAAAGAGTAAAAGTTTTGAACATGAGCATTGGTTTAAAAAGTCAACAACACATTGATTAACTTGCTGAAATTTTAATAATCAGTTATGTTTCTACAACCTGCATTAGGAGAAAAATCCATCTTCGGGTTCAAAAGCTGTGCTATTCAACAAGATTTTTTCAGTACAAAACGGCATCAGAACTGAAGTTTACTGCAATAATGTGGACGAGTTTAATCTTCAAGCTCCAATTCACAGCATTTTTAAACTGAGCGCACGATAAGGAAGACAACAGGTGACTGCGACAGAAAACTATTCAAGGACACAAGAGTTGGCATGACTCGGGATATTAAATCGACATCGGAGCGACGGTAAAATGCTTTGATGATAAAAAGCAGAAAAAATGCCGACACAGTATATACATCAACGAGATAAATTAACAAGAGATGAAAACTGTTTTAGCATGATCAAGTTCGGTCACAAAAATAAGCAGAATTCACAGACAAAAAAAAACGCCAGTTTCAAAAAGGATCGAAACTGAATGACATCCTTGAGGTAAGGCTTTGAAAATTTCTAGCCCTTTAAGTTAAACAATTACAAAATGCGGACGGAAAGACAAGAGGTTAAAAACAATCGTAACAAATACTGTAGCTCCAAAGTCTCAGAGTGTCACACCATGAGTGCAAAGATGAACAAAATTAACTTCACAAGTGAAGAGTTGCAATCTAAAAACTAATTTTAGGGGAAAAATGTCCTCGCCTTAACTTCAACATTCATCACCCTAAAACAAAAAGTCATCTTTTAAACTAGAAATGGTTTTATATAAGCTACCATTCCTCCAAAACTCTTCACATGAGGCTCAAGCTTTACACAGCAGGATGCTCCGTAAGTGACCGACACCCTGTTTTCCATCAGGCAGAAGAGAAAGTTTGACTTCATTGCACCATCTTCTTCAAATGTAACAGTCAAGTATCGACCAAACAACGCATAATAAACAAAGCGAGATTGTGTTTTGTAGACATTCAAAAATGGCAAAAATCCTATTATTACTATTAAAAAAAAAAGTGATACCATAATGTTGAGATGATTGAGAAAAATTCTGCGCGTATTGTTCTAGCATTTAAAAAAAAGCAAAAGCAAAAAACAAAAAAACATCTTGGTTGTCAAGTCAACTACACATTCCTTTCGTCTACATTTCTTGTTCTATTAGGCTACTTCACTGCAAGTTTCACTGCACTAAAGGCTACATGCTTTCTCCAAAACAACCAGTTTTCTCTCCAAACCTAACCAGTCACAGTTGTAGCTGCATTGTGTGCTTTAAATGTGCTTGTTGTGAAGCACGTTGATGTATAGCGTTTTCCTAAATCTCATCATCCTAGTTATCATTACCTGCAACAAGCCTCATCGTCAGTCCTTCATCTGCGGTGTCCTTCAATACTTTCATTGTCTGCGACAGTGATCGTGTTAATAATGTGCGAGCTACTATGTGAGCAGTACCGGTGTGGATTAATGGTAAGTGGAGCCCAAGCTGCCTGCAGGTCAGGCCACTGTCGTACTAATATTGAGCTAAACATGAAAAACAAATGTACCACACAAGTAGGAAAATATGAATGGAAATACACTAGTGATGCAGTTCTGCCACTACAACTCTTACATCTCAATCAGTAACATTAATAAAGAAAATTGCAGCTGCAGACCAACAGAGGGAACTACAGTAATTGATGTATGATCAGAGGAGGGAATTAAAAAAAAAAAAAAAAAAAAAGTAGCTCACAAGTCTGAACAAAGCAACCTGTCCTAATGTGTTGACTGGATTTGTGAAAAGGCTGTAATGGTCGAGCGAACGATTTCGTTAGCAGTCGGTGGAAATTTTGGCCGAGAGGTCCTGGATGCGGCGAGCGCTGCAGCTCTTGCACAAGATGTGGCCATCCAGCGGGTAGCAGCCTCGACCCTCGCCTTCAGACGACAGCAGGAGGCCGCATTCCTGACGAACACACACATGCTTTAAGTTAACATCTCACGTGGAGCCATAGTGTTAATATTTGTAGTGAAGAGGTAGCGAGCACATTTCAATCAATGTGAAACTGGTTATTTATTCCTACATTTAGAAGTTGTTTTTTTTTTAATCTAGTGATGCTTACAGGTTTCAGAAAATGCTTGTTTGTAGTGATAAAGTAGTACAGATTGGGGTTTTATAACAACTAGTAAAGTGCATGGATTATTTGGTCTCGCTGCCCTTTGCAACTAGCGAGGCCACAAACTATAATCACCCAAATATCAATAAAAGGAGCCAGAAACTTTAATTTCTGATGTCATTCTGATTGGTTAATGCTGACTGATGTTCTCGTTCTACCTAACACTATACATTAGAGGCAAGAAACTACATGATGATGTTACTTCTCTCCTCTAAAAAAGTTGAAATTACCACACGCTGATTAGTTGGTTCATTCATTGCCATTTTGAAATATACATATAACGGCACTGTGGGTTTGGAAAAAAGCAAACTCACCTCACAAATGTAACAGTTGACATGAAAGCTGCGATCCAGAGCTACAATCCTGACAGTCTCCTCCTGACCTGGTTCAGGCATGATGGGCTCACCACAGACTGAGCAGCGTGGTGCGTACTTCCTGTCAGGGACAACCAGCATCAACCCTCAGTTAGAGGAAACTAGTGACACTTGTGTCTACGCGTTGGTCATTCACGTCGCAGTGTTTGTATAGTGTGTGAATTTTACCTGTGAAAGTCATCTATGCAGTGTATCTGAGACGTGGCATCCACGGTGAAGGGCACCCCGTCCAAGCAGCAGTTACACACCACGCACGTGAAACAGCGAGGATGGTAGGCTTTTCCCATGGCCCGTAAGATGCGATCCAGAATGGGTTTAGAGCACTTTGAACAACGCTCTAGTGTACTCTAAAAAACAAAGATGGAAACTGCATCAATAAATCAAAGAATATGTTCAGAGGGAATACACAATAAAAAACAATTATTACAATAAAAACTACTGAGTAAAGTGTGGTGAATGTGACACGACACTTTGTGATCACACTGGGCCACCACACCACCCAAAACATAACCACGAAACCTGTTAACAAGATAAACCTGATAACTTCTTGTGCCGCAGTTCATCCACTTACAATGTAACAGCTCTCGCAGTAACTCTTTTTGTCAAGAGCGTAGAAGGGTTGCCCTCGGAGACGCGCGTGGCAGGTGATGCACGTGAAACACTCCACGTGGAACACCTGCTCCATGGCAATGCAGCCGCTGCCGTCGCCGACCACGTTGTCGCCACAGCGGGCACAGCGGCCTGAATGGCATAGAAAGTGCACAGACAAATTGTTAGAAAGCTGACTTCGTTTGTCTTTTATAATGTCACTGTTTAGTTAGAAGTACCAAAATAGTCCTCTGTAGGGGGGTGGTTCATATCGTACACCAGCTTCTTGGTGAGTCGATCCAGCTCTTCTTCGGGCCTCGAGGTTGCCATCCCCTGCTGGAGAAAAGGATGTATGATGCATGAAACGACAAAACAAGAAGATCAAAGCTATTATCTATGAGGTTATCATAATTTTCATAACACATTGAGACTGACATGCCCACAGCAGGTAACAGAAACTGTTAAAAAATAAAGGCTGATTTCCAATATTAGGTTGGAGTCATTATATGTTTTACTTACTTTTTGATTTTCTATAAAGAAATTTTGAACAATTCAGAATCTAGGATGTGGTACTAAAGGTGTGCCAGGTGTACTGACAATAGCATCCACAAACGTTAAAAGCTCACATTTTATTTTGACTGCAGATGCGGATTCGTGCCCCCCCTACCTTGCTGGACTGATAAGCAGGACTCTGTGCAGATCCAGACCCTGTCCGATTATTTTCCATTCCTCTCTTGGACACCGGAACCTGGTTAACTCTCCCTCCGGACCCTGAGCTGCTCCCCTTGTACCCACCCTCGGAGTGCATCTCCTGAACTTGCGAGCCGGGGTGCGGGGGGTACCAGCCTTGCGGACCTGTCTGAGTCTGGGGTGGAGGTCGGGAGACGTGCTGGCGAGGAGGGGGCGGGGTGTAAGCCTGCTCAGCCTGCCTCCCTGTCTGAGAGTAAGTGACGGGCTGTGCTGTCTTGACCTGGACACTGAACCTGGGCCCGGTGGGAGTTGAGGCAGTGGTGTAGGAAGCTGGGACGGGCTGAGGGTAGGGTTTAGGGCTCGAAGAGGAGTAGTAGTCCTGCTGGTGGGAGGTGGAGTACTGAGGTGTCGGGTGCTCGCTGGGGTAGGGAGGCGCCGGGTGGTATTGGCTCTGGGGGTGAAGGTTGTAGCCCATGGATGGCCGACTCTGAGGAGGGGCTGCACTCTGGTGTGCAGGCTTGTAGTGATCCCCTGAGAGGTATTTGTTGTAAGGCACATTGTCGTAGAGCTGTGGGCAGGCAGAACATTAGCCAGATTAAACACTTATGGCACAATTGTCTTATTTTGATCAAGTATGTGCATGTAACTTCTCTTGATTCAATAAAGTGTCCTACTTGAGTGCTGGAGTCCTGTGGGTGGCTGTCCAGATCAGCCAGCATACTGGTGAGCGAGTCAATATCGGCATCGATTTTGGAGTGATAGCTTGCTGGCTTCTCAGGGCCACGATGCTGACATAAGAACAGCATCAGAATCACGTCAGTGCACAATCAAAAACTTGATGCTGTGATCACAAGTTTAGGACTTTCACAATTTCTCCCAATAGCTCGGAGTATTTCAAACAAGTCAGCACAGAAAATTCACCCACCATCAGTTCATAGCTGTCCATGTGAGGGCTCCAGTTGCGGTTTTCTTTGGGACCGTGGGGGGGAGAGTAGTAGTGGTCGCCAGACGAGTGATGGATAGGTCCACCTATTGTTTTGGAGAGCAGATAGAGGAAACGTTTGTCCAAGACTCTTCAAGAAAGCTAACTTCAGCAAAGAATAAATAGAAAACAACAGAAGGCATATCTTCTGTTACTGAAGAGGTTCATAATCTGACATCCCTATATTATACTACTGGTCGATGAAACCGTTCCTTCTATTTATGCTATTCGGGAAGACATTTATGCCTGACATGCTTCTAATGTAAGTAATGAGGACAACATCCAGCCTGAGGTCGTGTGAAAATCGATGAAAACAATTCCAGACAGCCGGATCAAATGGGTGTCTTTTAAAGTTTAGAATTTCCTCTTTGTGACATTGTCCTTTCACTACAGCTCAACAAGAAAACTCTGTATGTGAAAATGCAAAGTGGTAAATTGATGCTAAAAAGACTTTCAAAGATGGTTTGTTCAACTCAGACTGCTGAAGCCTCGTGTCCACCATCATTTACACTGAAATTGATTGCGGTTAGGATCTTGTCATGACCAGCACAGACAGAAGTCACTAGTATTTATCAGAAATATTTACAGAACATCATTATTGTACAGTTCCCTTCCTGTTTAAGCCTAACTGTACGCCTTTGTGTATGGTTCCCCTTTGCTGTAGCTACAAAGAGATCAATGGAGTCATTCATGATGATGCCAGGGTTGGATTTTCCATAGAAATCACTCCAATCACACACTACAATTTGTGATTAGTGGTCTACTTACCTGTGTGTTCAGTCGCCATGTACCTGTTGGACATTCCTTCTCCTCCGTTCTGGTCATAGGGACCATATTTTGGCCTGTAGTCAGATGGGCCCTTCTTGTTGGGGGCTCGGTAGATTGGTGCCCCGGCAGAGTGGGACATCTGGGGGACGGCTCGCTCTGGGCTATCCAGAGTCCTCGGTGGCAGCCAGGTGGGACCAGACATGGCAGGCTTCTGAGATCGAATGACAAAGGAAAATACTTCATGTTGTTTTGTTATTAAAGTTTATGCTGTAATATAAAACACAAAATAATCTTAAAGGCAAATCCATATGATACTATATCTGCTTTGCCTGATGATAGTTTAGTGAATGTGTATGTTGTATATTTGCCATAATTTGGCTATTAAATACAACTGTGACTGTGGGTTTTTATATTGCAGGTAACCAATGGAAACTAAAGGATGCTTCAGATTTAGTTTCCTATGGCAACGAGGATACACATACACACACACTGAACAATAGGCTTTTAGTTGAAGAGCAGGAAGAGCAAAGCTATTCTAAAAGGCTAGGGGATTTCCAGCAGGCTAGCACATGCCCTGAAACATGTTTGAATGTGTTTTTGTGTACTTCCAGACACAAACAGTCGTGCAAAAGATCTCCAACACACACACACACGGACGCGCGAAACACAAACAGGTGCAAATCTGCGGCTACTCCTTGCCTGTTACACACCACAATAGTTATTGTCTTTGGGTGTTTACACACCAGTATCATTTATTTCCAAATGAAGCTGAAACAAAAACAAGGCAGGAAATGTTGTGTAATGATATGTGTCTGTATACATGTGAACACCTGGCTCATAGAAATATATTATGTATTCTCAGTGGGATAAAATAACAACACTGGCGCAAACAGCTGAGGTGTCAAAGTGCTGACTTGCACCTGAGGGCCTTCAGGTTTCACATAAGAAGAAGCCCAATTAAAAACCATCCTATATATTTCAAAGCAGGGCTGAATAATTTGAAACAATGCAATTAGCAAATCACAAAGGCTGTAATTTAGGATAAATGTTATGTAGCTCATCTAAACCCAGTGTTTAAACTATCATGTCAGTGGTTTTGCAAATTCCTGTCGTCCTCCTTGTGACTCAGTTCCACTTTTGATAGTGTCACATGTGGTAACGTCCCAATCAATGTTTGAAATCTATTACACGGAAAATGAAACTGAAGCAGGATAAACAACATTCCAATTCAAATTGCAATGAAGTGTCAGAAATGACTCAAAAAGCCAAGTGAGACAGAAGAGCCCTTTAATGCTGCAATGTCAGAATCCATTTTTTTGATATTGGGAGTTTCCATTTTGAACATTTTCCTTGAGAAAAACCACACAAACATTGTTCTCGACAGCTCCATATGCACTGAATTCAGCCAAGTTTTTAAACAATTACTCTGTGGTCTGTTCATTCATAACTTTAGAATGCATCAAGGATGGATGACAAATAATAGTTGAATTATGAATTGTGATTAATACTCAATGAGTAAACAAAGCTGCTTTGACTTTCTTGGAAAGCCGCAACCCAAATAGATTGAAAGCACTCACACAAGCCACAGCAAATTAAATTCAAGTATTTTCAGGGTGGAGAAATTAATAGCCCACTCAGACTGATTGTATGTGGGTCATGTGGTCATCATAAGTCGGTGATGGTAAGAGGATTATAATGATGTATGAGAGGATGATGCAGACGTACGGGAATACAATACCCCAACACTACATTTAAGCCTTCTGGTGTATTTTTTTTCACTTTTGTTATTTTAAGATTTCCATTCAGGGGGGTTGTTGTAGATGAAACCAATCAGTGTCAGCGTGGACTTAACTGACATTACACAGTGACCACGTGGAGGAAAGAGTGACCACCACCTCCACGACCGACCTGATTTAAGCTCCTGTCTGAATACGGATGAGCACACACTCAAATCCGAGGATGGCTGGGCCAGGAAATTAATCTCAACAGCTTTATCACTCTGCGTTTCAAAGCCAATTGTTGTGTTTTTTTGTGTGTGTGTGATTTTAAAACACAAAGCTTGCGGATTTGTGTATTATCTCGGTTAGGGCTTCTAACTGAGGGCAAAAGAGGCGCAGAGGCTCCCGACATGTCAGTTGATGACAGTGACAAGAGTCATCCTACCGGGAAAACACCAAGACTAGATCCGGTATGTTCGTAAATCACAATAACTGCACTGTAAGCGTTTCAGCAACACAAAAAATGATGGAAATAAACAAACAAAAAAAGGCGGAATTTAAGAGCACCGGTTGCAAACTTGATTGAGTCGATCACCGTTTGTTCCTATCCTCACTTTAACACACTGCTCTCGTCATCCTGTAACACATCCAGCCTTTATTTTGAAATGACTAAGGTTAGCTTAACATATGTGACACAACGCAGTTTAATGTAGCCGTTTTTGATACATAATGTGACTAAAATAAGAGATAAATAGCGCGATTCTAGTCAAAAGAAATGGGTTTGAAACGGTCTCCCTAAACGCTCGTGTACATCTAAGACACATTAGCAACGCACCAGCGTCTCTTACCTTGTACAGTACCGTTACAGTGATTCTCCTCTTTCCTTCGGTCTCATCTGTAAATCCAGAACAATATGAAATCGGTGAAAGGGAAAAGGAAAAAAACACATCACAGACACATGAGCAACATTTCCTTGCCTTCACAGCAGCGTCCCGCACAGCAACATTATCTCATATGAATGACAAACTGTCCAGCTGTTCGTCCAAATCTGTCCTCTGTGCGTCACATATGAGAATAACATACCACTTAAGCGATACGATCACCCAAAATGAAGGATAATTAGCAATAATTAACTTTAATAACAGGCTTGTTTACTTGTTTGCTAGCCTGTTTTGAACTCGAGCAAAGCTCGTGCCTTGCCTTCAGGCTAACTTCAGCACAACCGAAGAGGAAACAATGAACCAGCCAACAGCTACCGCCTGAAAGGAGCCACACAAACACGACCTACGCCTCAATTTAAACGTTCAAAGGTCAGTGAAAGTTATCCCGAAAAAACTTTCTTTTCGCTTCGGCGTCGTTAACCTACTTTGTCACGGATACGGAGAGGCCTTTAGCAGCAGCAGCAGCTCCGCACTGCATTCCCCACGCGTGACGTAGTTGCGGGGAGCGTGCGCGTCCGCGTGCACGAGGAGAATATTTTTATATGTTTTTTTTTTGTCGGTAAAAGCAAACTTAAAAAAAATGAAACTGGTCCATGATATATGATAAATCTTACCTTTTTACACATTACAAGAAATTCCATATGCACATAACTGTGGAAATTTAATACAAAAAAAAAGCCCCTCCATAAATAGAGTGGAGGGGGTAAGATGTCCACCCCAAGATAAAAACCCCTCTGTCCCATAATTCTCCTTCTGACCGCTAGATACTGTCAGGCTGCCAGTTTTCATTCCTTTTCTTGGATGTCAGGGTTTTGAAATATGATGACATACGAGTTTGACAGCACAAAGTAGACCTCTATGATTTTTTTTTTTTTTAAAGGATGACCTCAGACTTTTTTTTTTGTAACTGTTTACAGAGTTATATGAAAGGTTATTCATTAGTTTGAAGAAATAATACAAAATACTTATAGTATGTGAAGGTCTGATTGTTGGACTTTTGAGGAAAGTTTAACAATTTTATATCACTAATTTGAATATCAGCTATAGCAAAGTTGAAAAGTTAATGATTTGTCATAAATCATCAATTGTAAATTAATTGGCAATAACCAGACCGTTTAAAAATATGTATCTAAAATACTTCCTGTGTGTTATCTAAGATGTTGTGGTTAGAGTAACATCAACATTTAAAAAGACAGTTAATTTTATGCCTAAATATCACCTTTGTATTAATTAAAATGACTCATGTGATGAGATTAACCCAGAAAACATTATATGAATATTATAATGATATTCAAAGCATATGTGTTTTAAAAGAAAATAGACATTGTTTCTCCCTAAAGTAAAACATAAAAGGTGTTCAACTCCAGAGTAATAATGAACTAAAAATGAAAAGAAAGGTATGACAAATAAATAATTTTTAAAACCTACACTTGGCCCAAAAAAAAAAAAAAGTCAATTCTTTTAGCCTAAAAAAAATATTTTTTATTTAGGACTCATTTGATGTTGGTTTAAACTGTACTGTTCAGAGCGCAATTGTATTTTTTTTAATAATGAATTTGAGAAATGATAAGTAGAGCTTAAATCATCCCCGATGTATACACTAAAATAAAAAGAAATGTATTTCAAGGAATATTTGAGCCACAATCTCAGAACATGAGGATTGTTGAATTTCTAATTTGTTGTTAGTAATTATATTTTCTTTTTGTGATCAAGGTTTGATTTATTATATTGCTGTTTACGATTGGCTTATTCTGAGTTTTAATTGTAAATGTAGTAGCTTTGCACTGAACTCGCATAGTTTAGTCCTAACTTGTGTGTTTTCCATAACAACCCAATTGTTTTCCATTGAGTAAGCTGCAGTTGATATGGAGGTCAAACGCTTGCTTGATGATTTTACAGTTCATAAGATTTGGGTCAACTGTCCCTCTCCCTTTTCCCTCCCACCCTGTTTTTGTTGTTTCTTCCTCTTCCTCCCACTTCACCCAGCACAATGTTGGAGCCCCACTTTCGTCCCCAAGGCACTTCTTTAAAGGAAGAGTTTCATAAGCTTTTCATTTATTATTTTATTTCCCGGTCCATCTCGACCAATAAGTGGACAAACAACTGAAGCTGCTTTCTGGGATCTCCCCACTTCCTCCATACACTCCTCCTCCCAGTAGCTCTGAGCTGTTTGCCCTTATATGTCCAGGGAGCTCTGCAGTCACAGGAAGAGGTAGTTTAAGCAGATCTGTGTTATTGTTGCAGGGGCCATCAACACTTTGGCACCAAGTCAGTGGTTTTGAAGTCAAAGCATGGCTTCAATCCATGCAACATCGGATAAACAATATCATTTTATCCAGGCAACCACAAAACAAGGGGTAGCCCTTCATTCACAGATGGTTTGTGTGATGCTTAATAGTACCAGCTCTGCATTTTATCACAAACAGGGCCAGTGTGTCACTGATGGGCACTGACAGATGGGTAAAGATGCAGGAAGTCACAGCGAGCGTTGCCCAGCCTCACCAACGGGACAGACTCAATGGCTTCCGGCCATTGGTAAACCTGTTTAGTAATGTTCTCACTTTTCCTCAACCGCCCCCCTCATCCGTTCTTCTCACAATGCCTGGAAGTAGCCGAGACCCACATCTCCCTCTCTGTTTTCTTAATCGTTGTTTTCCTTTATGGTTTTTTCCTTGTTTTTTTCTTTTATAAAGCACACAATTGATCCGAGCTCTGTCCAAACAAATAGAAGCACAAGGACACGCACAAGCACTCCACATCCCAGGCAAAACATTTTTACTTCCGATTCGCATTTTCAAAGGATTTATATCCAAACATGCCGATTTTTAAAATGTGTTTGAACAAAAGGGAGTTTCAAACAGATTTATTATTCAAGATGCAGCTCAAAATTACCTGGAGGCAGTCATACATACTTACAAATGTAAGTTGTTTGCACCTCATTCATGAGTGTTGATGGGTCTGTCTAGGCCTACTGCCTACTAAGCAAAAAAATATAGTGCACAATACTCGAAGAAAAAACTCTCAAGTTCAAGTTTATTCCCAAAAAATTCCACATTTTTCTTCCACATTATAATTTAATTGGATGCAATCATGTCAGTGAAAATAAAACTCCTCTTCAAAGCATCCCCAGCATCTTCCAAACCCGGCTTTTCATGCAAACGTCACTCATCTTCCTTGAGCAAACCTTGAAGATTTCTCTTCTCTTCCTTCAAGGTCTCCTTCTGCGAAATACTTTCATGTGGAGGAAATACAGTTCATAGTTCGCTTTTGCGGCGCCTCAATTAACCGTCCTCTGCCTGATTCTCTGCAAAGCCGAGGCTGCACCGAGGATGAGGTAACTTTCCGCTTATTTTTCAGTTATTCGTGACCTCTGAGCCCTTGTCCCCTTCGCTTCATTACTCCCCCTTACCAATTCTCCATTTCTCCTCCCTTGTCTCCTGCTTGCTTTATTATTGACGGATGTCCTGCGCAGGCGTTTTCATTCATGTCTCTGAGCAGCTTAGCAGGATGCATTCGTGTGCTGTGTGTGTGTGTGTTGTGGAGAGTTCCTGCACATCTGTCGGCTGCATTTCTCTCAGTCAGGGCGGGGTAAAGGTTGTTTTTCAGCAGAAGGTGTCTCCCATCTAGAGCGATCAATTTTGTCTCGCTTCCTTCCTCTTGGCCCTCTTACCACGTCGCCTCTGCTCTGAGCCATCAAGTCTGAATTTTCTGCACAAATGATGAGGAGCACTTGTTATTAATGCCCTTTTGACTGAACTGGCCAACTTTGCAATGACAGTTTCTGTTTGGATACTGTGGCTTATTATATGAACATAACATCAGGGGTGATTTGGAGAAATTGTGCAGCAGAATATGAATGAAATTTGTACTAAAAACTCCAATATTGGAATTGATGAGGGCATAGCTTGTTTATCCAAATACAAGTAGGTGTTCCGGCTTCCTTTCAGGCAGTTTCCTCTGTCCTGGTGAAGGAAAGCGTTGGTGGGGGATGTTCTCTGGCTTACCCCTGGACAACCAGACACGTACCGCAGCTCCCCAAGGGTCCACATATATATTTTTTCAACGTGGCACAAAAACACACTTGGCTTTCCTGCCATTAGTTCGCGCCCTAGCTATGGGGGTTTAGAAAAACTAATAGCCCACTAAAAATACTTAGAGCCTGGAGCCTGGGCCAGGGCTTTTCCTGCGTTGCTTCCAGTGTACGCGTGGGCTATTGAGGAAAGAGGAAACGAGCAGCTCTGGTTGTAAGGGGGCTTCCTGCTCGACATTATAAAGAGCTCCCTCCCTTCAGCCTCCCTCACAGCGTCGCTCCGAGCCAGTGGAGGCTGTGGGTGAGCCCCTGCTCCACGTCTTTGACTGTAGACTGAACACCGAGCCGAGTGGGTTGACGTCAGTGCGGCGCACGTTAGTTCTCGTCCCTGCTGGTCGGGGTGAGTTGGAAAATCTCACTGTGTTTAAATCTTTTATGAGCTGTCACATCGTTATCTGCTTGATTTTATTGTAATGTAGAGATATTAAAAATCCTACCCTTCTTTTATTAATCTTTGAATGTAATTTTTAAGGTATAATTCTGAATGATAAATTGTTAGATTTTGTTAGATAAAAATGCTTTTTATTCAGAGTCACTGTGCAGTAAATGTGTGATGTGTTGTGTAAATGTTTTTCCTTAAACGTGCACAGAGTTGAATTTTGTTTCATATTCTTTTACATTTAAAAACTGTGTAAAACTGAAAAACACCTTCAAGATCATGTGGTTGCTTCTTATTTTCCTCATGCAGGTACGAGTAGGGAGCTGGTCTCACCTAACAGATGTGTCTGGGACACTCCAATATATTTATTCTATCAGTTACATACAGGTAAGTCGTTGTTACTAAGACTAAAACTAAATTCATGTAAGCAATCGGAATTTCTGTGAATATAATGATGTGCACTACTTCATACATAGTTTCATTTAGTTATAATGCCTTTTCAACAGATCCAAACAATGGAAGTGTTGGAAGGACACAGGGTGGACAGAGGGCAGGCGATGAGAGCCCCGGTTGATGGATATGTGAAAGAGTTCACGCGCCACTCCAATGATGTGCTGCTGAACCTGAACGAACTCCGGCATCGAAGCATCCTGACTGACACCACCCTGGTTATTGGCAGCGTGCATCTGCAGGCACACTGTGCCGTGCTCGTGGCCTGCAGGTCGGTGCATGGGTCAAAGCACTACACAATACAATCTGTCTGGAATATTCAGGTTTTCTCTGATTGTTTTCCAAGGGAGAATGTAGGAAATGAAACAAGCACATGTGCAGTTGAAATGAACAATTTCTTCCTTTCTCTCTCCTTACTCTAACTTTACCTTCTTCCTCTGGTTGACTCATAGTTCCTTCTAATTTGATCTGTCCCCAGTTACATTTCACTTGGGAAATCCATTGTCTTGTTTGAGCCATGCTTTTACTATCATCTGTCTTATTTCTCTTATTAAAACTGCAGAGTACTGCTCACCTGAACTGCTTTTTTTATCTTAAATATCTCCTCTCTTCCCTCAGTGGCTTCTTCTACTCGCTGTATTCCCACCGTGTGCTGCTTCAGGGGCGTGGTGGCAGCGGGGAGCAGCTCATGACCGTGTCTCTCCCCAGTACCTTGGATCCATCCAGTGTCTCCCTGCTGCTTGACTTCATGTACACCTCCCGCCTCCCTCTGACACCCAGCGTCGTCTCCGGAGTGCTGGCTGTTGCCACCTACTTGCAGATGGACCACGTGGCCGATACCTGCCGGGATTTCATGCAGCTGCACTGGTGAGCGCCTGGAAGGAACACCTGTTCTCTGTTCGTGTCTTGTGGATAAAAAATGTAGGACATGATATTATGCGCAAGGCTGAACTCAAAATTAATTTGTGTTTCTTTTTCAGCACAGACAAAATGAGCGCCAGACACCCTCAATTGGAGCTGGACTCCAGGGTGTCTGTAGCCTCTGTTGCCCCCAAAGGAAGGGACCTATATAATGCAGAACCCCAGCGATTACTCCCAGCAGCTGGAACAACCAGGTAAGACAATTAAATTTGTCGCTATGAACTGAAGGTGGACAGAACTGCTCTGACTGAGTGACTCCCTTATTTCTTACTTGCCTCTCACTTTGGCTTTTTGTTTATGCATTGTAAGAAGTGCTGCTGCTGTAGTTTATGTGCCTTTGTCTGTTGACAGGTTTAGCTCATTACAGCACTTCCTTTGTTTTTCCTGCAGGGTGCCTGCTATGGCTGGGGACTCTTTTAAGCCAGGGGCTTTCCCGACCTGCCAGCCCAGGTCAAAAGAGCTAAAAGGAGAGCCTGAGTCACCCTTAATGGGCACTTCATCTCCAAACAGCCCCGCCCGCTCAAGCTGCCAACCAAACTCTCCTGCTGAGTCCAACACCTGCAACAAAAACCTGGTGGTAAGTCTCAAGAAAATGACCCTTATGGTTGATTTTAATGTTATCAAAAACAAGGAGTCCTTAGATAGTCTCTATTGTTACGAAAATGGTACTAAAGTTGTTGGAAGTTTAAATGAACAGTTTAAATTAAGGTAGAAGTTTGGTTTTCTTCATTTTATCCAGAATGACACCAAAGCCACACCCGACCCAAAGGCCTGCAACTGGAAGAAATACAAGTACATTGTTCTCAACCCTCTCTGTGCTGCCACTACGGTGAAAGTAGAGGAAGTGGAGGAACCCCAAAGTCAAGCATCACCCACTGCAGACAGCATGGGCTCGATACCGAAAGCACCAACAGAGGCGTGGTCTGGAGAAGTGCCTGGTCAGATTGATAGGTAAACTGGAACAATGACAGTGAAACAGCAGAGACTAAAACAGAAAGTTTACATATATGTGTGTGGAAAAACTATAAAAGGTCTTTTCTTCAGACAGGGGCAGGCCTCCTGCTACGAGGGTTCTGGCCGAGCCCCTCCCCTCGGGCCACCTCCCTCTGTGGACCACCAAACAGTGCCTCCCTCTCACAAGGAAGGGCCAGGTAGGCAAAAATGGCACATCTAAAACACAAAATTATTTTTTTAAAAAACAATGCATTGGTGTGTTAAGAGTGTTTTCTTTTGATCCAGAAGCTGCTAATCACAACCAACATCCAATCAAGCGTGAGAACTACTATGTGCCCTACTGTTATTCTGGAAACATTCAAGGAACCAAGTCTGCCTGCTCAGGTGAAGTTTAAAAAAAAAAAATCTCCAATCCAATTCACTCTCTTTGTTTTAGAAATTCAGAACAAATATGTGACCGGTGACCTTTGCTTCAGCAGGTGATAAGCCGTATCGTTGTAATGTGTGTGGAGCTCAGTTCAACCGACCGGCCAACCTGAAGACTCACTCCCGCATTCACTCTGGGGAGAAACCTTACCGCTGTGACACCTGTGGGGCGCGATTTGTTCAGGTGAGGGCTGTAGGTGTGTGCATGACTACAAGAGTGAATGGTAGCAAATTGGGTTATTGATTAGTGTTGACTAACACTTGATATAACTGATCCAAAATGTGTCTCATATAGCATAGTTTCCTTAAAATTAAAAAGTAATGTCTGTCTGTCTGCCAAACAATATTTTGAAAGCACACGTGAAAGTGTAAAGTAAGCTTAAAACTTTGGAATTAGTCCACTGGAGTTGAAACTGAGCACCCTAGAAGAGTGTCAAATACATCTTTATTTGTGCCTTTTCTGTATCAATTTAAGGTAAAAATGTCTGTGCTGGTAAAGAAAATCACAAAATTCTCGTACTGGGTTACAGTTAATGTAATGAAATACAATGCAGTAAGGCTCCCAGGCATCCTTTCTTGCTTTCATTTATTTATTTTCCTGTAACTTTTGTCATGTAATATTTTCCTGGCTGAATCAACACACATATAGTGGTTTGTCAAAAATATAATTCATCTGCTTCTTCTAATTTATTCACTCATAATCTCACATGTGAACAGCTACAAATCCTGTATCTCCTCGCCTCTTGCCTTGTCTAGTTTTTTAGGTAGTTTCTCTGACAGTTGCACGTCTTAACTTCTTTGTGTGTTTGTCCCGGTGTTAGGTTGCCCACCTCAGGGCCCACGTTTTGATTCATACAGGGGAGAAGCCTTACCCCTGCCACACCTGTGGCACCCGCTTCCGCCACCTGCAAACCCTCAAGAGCCATTTGCGCATCCACACTGGAGAGAAGCCTTACACTGTGAGTCAGACACTGACCAGCAAAGAATATCACAAAACACCCCTTTCATTGCCCTAACTGCATACAGGATGTCTAATCTGACCGCTTGTTTTGCAGTGTGAGAAGTGTGACCTGCACTTCCGGCACAAGAGCCAGCTGCGTCTACACCTGCGGCAGAAACATGGGGCCGTCACCAACACTAAGATCTGCTACAAGGTGCTGACTGAGCCCTACCAGCCTATTCTACAGGCCTGCTGAAGAAGATGCGCCTTGATCACAACTGACCCATTATTCAATGTTTTTAACATGACCTAAATCTGTTGGAAAATGTGAAATTTAGTGGATTAATTAATTTGTAATAAGGTTCTGCTTGTATGAGGTTAAGCAGTTTTAAATTATTAGCACTTGGTTTTTGAATGAAGGTGGTTACTTATGGCTTTAAAACCCACTGATTAGATGGACGGAGTTTGATAGTACACAAAATAAGTTAAAAGGGGTTACATTTGGAAAAAGAAAGACATTTTCATGTAACTTTTGGTGTATTGTTGGATGAGGTTTGGAGTCTGGAGCTTATAAATAGGAAATTCGCAGGTTAATTAGAAAGATTTTCCAAGAAGGAGATGATAAAAGATGATGAAAGAACGCATTTTTGGAGGTTTGTGAAGAGACATAAAGAAGGCAATAGGACATTGGGAAAAAAAGGTTAAATATCTTGGTTTGTGCATGAGCTGAATGCTGAGGCAATGTGAGTGTGTGAGCAGTTTGAAAGAAAGATAAAGTAAGTTTTATGAAGGAGAGGTGGTGAAATTGAGCTGAATAACAAAAAAAATGAACATAGATTTTAAGTCTAGCAAAGCACTTCATCAATGTTAAGTTTTGGGAATTTTCTTCCTATCTGTGTATTTAACTCAGATTTATCTTAACCTTATGGCCCGGTGCCTGTGTGTTGTTTTCAAGAAACAAAGTATGCAGTAAAATCTGCTTTTACAGTCCAAGCAGGCAAAGGACTTAGATGTCTTGTAGTGAATATAAAGTGTAGAAATCAAATATTGTTTATGACACAGCAGACATTTAAAGAGGACAAATGAAATCAATTGAACAGGTAATATTAAATTTGTATGTGTATAAGTTAATTTGCTGGACAAAGATGGTTTTGTACAATTTAAATTAAATCATTTTTAAATCAATTGGACACTTGGTGTTTGGTGTTTATTTGTCACGTTATGTCACAATATGACATGTGTGTTGCTATATGTAATGGAAAAACAACTGAATATCCTAAAAACAAACTGGTTTGAAAAGTTGTCAATACCCCCTTCAGCCTATCTCCTCTCAGGACTTCCTTTCTCTCATTAGTGAACTCTTTCTGCCCATGAATCACATCTTCTGTTCAGTCACATCTGTGCTGCTAGATTTTGTGTTTTTTTCTTCTTCTTCTTGGTGTGAAAACAATAAAGCCGAGGGCACCTGTTTCCTCCAGGGTCATAATATTCCACACTCACATTACTAGCCGACAACACGCGTGCGAGCTCGCTGGTGCTTCCTGAAGGTGAAGGGGGTGACTGCGGACGGGGGGCCGCAGACTCCCGCTGAACTCTCCAACCTATTGTCATCCCCGCTTCCTGCTTCTTGATGAGTTGTGGCTAGCTGGGCTTATTGTCCGCAGACAAACATTGGAAGTTTGACGGGACTTTCCAACCTTCAACCCCCTCCTCAGCTTAAGAAACAAATTAAAAACCCATGAGATGCTGGGGAGTCTCCCCAGAAAATTAGCTTGAAAAGTCACACAGAGTTGTAGTCAAAAGACCAGCTTCTTTGTGGAACACATTTCAGGAAGTGAATATGAAACTAAAAAATGTGTGTAGTATGTTTCAAGACTGGAAATCATACGGTGGATTTACTGAAAATTCAAAACAACTCAGAGAGTGACCTTAAATAATACAACGATTGTGACCTTGCAGAATTTCTTATGAAACCCGAATGAGCAAAAGTCATCACTCTAGGCATGCAGAAAAATGATGATATGAAAGCAGCAGTGGACAAAGTATTCAAATCCTTTACTTCAGTAGAAGTATCAATGCAGCAATTTCAATTCCATGACAAGTGAAAGTCCTGCATGAAAAACCCGACTTAAATAAAAGTACATACGTATCAGCAACAAACTGTAGTTTGTATTGTATTGTATTGATTTGGTCCCTCTGACTGATTAATTAGTTCGATCAGTGTTTAAGCAGCATGTTCCTATTCTAGCTGCGGCAAGTGGAGCTAACTTCTCCATATATGGTTTTATATACAGGAACAGCAGATAAATATGAAGGGTTTAGAGGAAAGCTGTTGACAACTCAACATGGAGAACATGACCCCAACTACACCCTGACCAAAAAAGGCTGGAACCCACTGGTTTAATCTTTAATAATGTATTTTCTTGTACAAGCTATATATATAATCCATTGGGGACATCTTCCAATAACTAAAACTGTCAGATGTAGTGGAGTAGAAAGAACAATATTTCCTTCTGGGGAATGGAAAAGCTAAAGTAGCATAAAATAGAAAGTACACACATTTCAACTTCCTGGGTTTCTGTCCTGAAAATGTATTAAAGATGCAATGATTAATTGATTAGTTGTCATATATTAAATGAATGTCCCACTATTTTGGTAATCATTCAACTGGTTCGTGTCAGTTTTAAGCAAAAAAGTCAAACTGCTCTCATTGCAGCTTCTAAAATTTCCTCTATAACAATAAACTGAATATCTCTGGGCGCTGCTGTAGCTCACCTGGTTGAGCTGGCATCCCATGTATAGGGGATATAGTCCCCAATGCTGTGGTCGTGGGTTGGAGTCCCGCTCATGACCCTGCAGGTCCCTCCCCCATTCTTCTCCTCCTGTTTTCCTGTCTCTCTCTCTCTGTCCTATCTAATAAAGCCAAAAAAGGCCAAAAAATATCTTTAAAAAAAATCTGAATATCTCTGGTTTGAGAACAAAACAATACATTTGAGGTTTTCATTGAGCAACTTTGATAATCAACACTTTTCACCATTTTTCCACGTTTTATAGACATAAGTTGCAGCCCTGCCATCGATACAAAAGTAAATCGAATAAATACACACATAAACCTATATATGCTTGAGTGAATATTCAGACCAACGGACATAAATATAACCTGCTGCCACATCTAATATGGGATTCAGCAATCTGTGACATATCAAACTGTCTTCTATGAAAAACATTACTGACATGGATTATTAATGTCATATTGTGATTGATCCATACAGTCATCCTCATGAGACAGGACTAATAAAGCCAAAGTTTGAACTCTGGATGCTGAGGTCTCTTAAAGTCAGAGTTGGGAACAGAAAAAATAACCCAGAATCCATTTTCAGACCTTGTGGTTGCCTCCCTCTAGTGTTAGTCTCCTGAACACCCATTCGTCATTTATCCAGCAAGCCAAGCAAGGAACACATTTTAGCTTGTTCAGCTGCATTTGTTAGAGTTCAGGATTCTCCCTCCCTCCTCTCATGAACCTCTACCTTCTACCTCTATGCATTTTTTTTCTCCTCCTTATCTCCCACGTTACACCCCCTACGTGCTGATAACACTCAGAGCAAGTGCCTCTTTTTTGCAGTGATCATGAAAGGTTTAAACAAACAACATAAGTTTAGAGATTAAAATGACAATGTGGGGTGTTATAATCTCATTAATTGTACTGTTAAAGTTAGTTTATATGGAGACCCTCTAGTCCCTAAAACAGAAAATGTGCCCTTCATTTAAAGGGCTGGTTGTTCTTTTTTTTGTTACTTTGCTCTTTCTTGATTCATGTTGAATTGCCTGAAGCTGGGAACTCGGGATCATTTCTTTTCTTGGTTCTGCTGGAAAAGCTTATTGAGTCATGGGCTCTCTAAAATCAGCAACAAATGGCCTAAAGGTAGTGTTATCTCTATTCAAATGAGAATACAAGAGAGTAGAAGAAAAAATGCTTGATGACAATTTCACAACTAATTTCATATGTTTATTTTCATTAGTGTGACCGAGCTGTCGGTTTCATGACAAGAAGCTATCTGGTGAGCCACACCCTCACCAAGGCTCAACCTCCGGAGTCGGCAGTGATGCGGTTGAAGATAGTAAAAACAATTACCAAGAAAACCAAAACCTGTTGGTTGAGTTCCTACTTTCTACCGCACCCTTCTTGTGATAAATTGTACCAGCAACAGATTGTTAGGAAAAGACACACACTGACAAGAAGTTGTAATTGCAAGCAAATTTGGACTTTTGGTAAAAAAAACCCAAAAAAAACAGTTTTCTTGAGGCTATAGTGCATTAAAATCCATATATAGTAAACAAACAAACAAGAGGTGTGATCCTGCTGACCTTTGACGTGTACAGTTCTAATCAGAAAAGCTCAATAACAAGCAGACAAGGCAAACAATAGGAGATTTTAAGTACCTTGGTGCTACATCAGAGCACCTTTAGCTATACGCTGAGACCACCGAGGTGTAAATACAAAAAAAAATCTGCATTTTATTGCTGTATAGATGTGGTCTTCTCATGGCTTTTCCAAGAAGTAGTAGTTGCACCGAATTATTTTACTCTGGCGACACATTACGCCTGGATTCACTTTAAAAAACCTCAAAACAAGTAACGAAAACTGGAATTGTGAATTTGACCTAAATGTTTAAAGGGCCAGTATCATGTGTCTGCAAGCAGGGGAGGCTGCCTTTTCAAGGACTGCAGCTGTAGATGTCAGGATCCGCACTTCAGCCCCTGCCTGGCTCCCTCTCCTGTCACTCTGGTTCAGTGTGCCCGATTACAGGTATTGGAGACAGCCGTGGAGATCAGCTCACCTGCTCACAATCACCTCATTCCAGAAAGCCCTGTTTATTTCACCACACCCTGCCAGACCACAGACATTCATACCCAGTGTTTCTGCCGGTCCCTGTTCTGTCTCCTGCCTGCCTACACCAAGTTGCTGCTGCCTGGACACCCTGCATCAGTGGCATACTCGCCGCCCCGATCCTACCTCCATACTGCTGCTGGCCCCTGACCTCTTTCCAGCCTGCATTCCCTGAGTCAGCCTTCCCCTTTAGTTTGGTCCCAAGTCCTGTGAGTATCCCCGTTTTGTTGGCTTAGTTTATTATTAGTAGTTTCCCTGTCTGTTAGTTTGGTGTCTTTCTGAGGTTTTTGTAGTTTTGCCCCTTTTTTTGCATTAGGTCTGGTTTACCCTGTTCTGTTTATTTTCCTCTTTCTGTATTAGTTTTCAGTTTCATTCTTTTGTTTAATAAAGCCTTCCAAGCCCTCACCTGTCTGTCTGATCTGTGTCTGTGCCTGGGTTCCCAGACCAGCCCGTAGGACTGCCTTTCTAGGACCACATTTCCAGAACCCTTGTTTTTCATGACAGTGCCACTTACTGAACTGAGTTGCTAATCGAGTGGCATGTGTTGATGCAAACTTCTCCAACTGCTGCCAGATGCTGACTAAACTGAAAAATGGGATTTCTCAACAATCTAATTTAAATATTTTTTAAAAATTACAGCAAAAAGGAAACAACCCATGAAGCACTACAGTATATTGGAAATGAGAAACGGATCAAGAGTGCGGTCCAGAAGTCACAAGTCCATCAAGTGTCTGTTGAGGAAATTTTACAAGTTAACCAATACTTGCAAACAGAAAAGTGTCCTTTTGAGTTTTTTTTTAATGCACTTGTGCAAGTTGACCCAGTCAGTCACTGAACAGCGTCTGTGGCTGAATGAGTGCCTGAGCTTCTTCAACAAACATCTTTATACATTTCTGATGGACCTAATTACATTATCCTCGCCTAGGTGTTGATTCTCCAAAGAACACTAGCTCTGTCTTCTTAATACTTTCCCCTGGGTCATGTCTGGGTCATGTACTGGTCTTTTGACAGTCATGAGGTCAAGTTTGTGATGCTTCTCACCCAATAAACAATGTCCCCTATTGCAGACATGAGTTCTTACGATAGCGTGGGTCTCTACTTATGCACACACAATTCATGCCCTTGGGAACTGGAGAGCGATTAATGCACCCATCAGTGAGCATAAAGACATTATTTCTGCTTATGCATGTTCAACACACTCCACATGAGAAAATGGGAAAACCCCATACATGTCCAACATCACATGAGCAGTTGATAGCCCATACAAACAATAATGAAACAGATTACATGAGCAAATGATCACATAAAGAAATTATGATGTAAGCAATTACATGAGTAAATGATGAAACACAAAATTTACTATAGTGCTGGCCTGTGGAATGGTATCCTACTTTTCTTCAAGGGCTTGGTGAAGCTGACAGGCATTGTGGGGCACAGGATCATGTGTCCATCTAGTGTATTATGTGGCAGATTGTTTGGTTTAACATGCCTTGTGATTTTTTGTTATTGGATGGCAAGAGGATTTAAGTCTGCTAATAACAATTTTGAGTTAAGTGTACTCTGAGCAACAAATTCTAAATGCAAGAAGGTTCTGGGTTTGAGTCTACTGATTGGCCAGGGTCTTTCTGTGCAGAGTTTAAATGTTCTTCCTGTGCCGGCATGGATTTTCTCCTACCATCCAAAAACATGCACAGTAGATTAAGTGATAATTCTAAATTGTCTAGGCATGACCGTGAGCATGTGTAGTTGGACTGGTGACCTGTGTACCCCACCGTTTTCTGCAATTTATTTCTTTAACTGTTGTTTGGTTAACAAGATATCAGAAAATTGTTTAAAATGTTGACTAGCGTTTCTTAAAGCCACAATAATGTCCTCAAATGTTTTGTTGACAACCCAAAGATATTCAGTAAAAAATAGTTGCCGAATAATTCAATAGTTAATTAATTGTTGCAGGTCTGAGTGTAGTTTTATTTTTGCAGGAAAAAACAGCGCTAAAACATGTCAAACTGCCATGAAAGCATTCAGCATTTTAGTTTTTAATATTGGACGAGATGCTGCAATTTATAACAGAAAATTAATAATGGTGCTACTTTCGGCTAATGTTCACAGATTTTTAAACCATACAGAGGTTCGTCGCAGGAAATTTTGGTGCCTAAATTATTAAACCGAATTTATTATATTTTATGCCCACTGAGCGCGGTGAAGACTGCGCATGCGCACCAGCTGTGCGGCGGCTGCTGAAGTTTTTTCTGCTGCTCGCTGAAACTGTAGTGCCTTGTGTAAATATGTTGTTTACCACAGTGAACCTGGACACCGTGGATCATGTGCTGCTCCAGAGACAGCTGACAGACCGGGGGTGAGTAGTGTCAAAGCACAATGACGCGTTTCTGAGGCTGTGAACCGTTTCGAAATGCTGTAAATGCATAACGTCTTCATTGTTTAGCCGGCTTTAATTCGCCACGAAACGGTTAATTTCGCTGTGTAAACGGTGTCACAGCCTCTTTAACCGCTGTGACACAGACCTCAGTAGCAACAGCCGAGAAAACAATATATTCACAAATACATTAGCATGGGCAAAATATGGAAACACGGTGTGTATATTCGTGCATTTTGTTGTTATGTTTTCGTGTGTGTGTGTAAAACAGTGCCGCCGTATGACAGCCAGTGCGCAAGCGCCGCGTGAAGTCGTACGTCATGCACATGTGGTTGGAGACAGGGCACGTGCATGATCCAGTACACGTTCAGGCACCTGATAATGACTGACTGGAGGAGAGGCAGGACCAGCTCTGTCTGCAGGTGTGTGTCAACAACCCACATTTTTCTGGTTTGGCTTCATAGCAAACTGTTTAATCCAACCTCCATTGTATTAGGTAGCAATGATTTTTATTTTTATTTACTTTTTATTTACTTTTTGTGCAGGACATTTTAGCAGTGACACAATATTGTGAGGACTATGTCACTGTTTTGCCAGAAAGCAATACTACTTTCTTTGTATAATATTTAATATTGTAGGGCTTTAACTTTCATATTTACACAAGTAAGGTACATTTGTATTACATATGATAATGTGGAGTCGTAACTTTGATCTTTAAATTAGTAAGGGAATTTTTGAGAATAAATAATATTGTAGGGCCTCAACCTTAATATCTATATAAATCATGTAAATGTACATAATAAATACTATTGTTAAATTTAATAATATAATTACAAATAAGCTGTTAAAATATGTTATATAAATATGTTATGTTATAAAACATGTTATAGTCTGTGTATTGGTTTTTAATTAACTTTATGTAAATACAATTTTAATTTATATTTATATGTATTATTTAATTGTTTTTTTAAAAAAGAGATATCTGTAGATAACGGATTTTTATTTTTTCAGATAAAAGTGCTCATAGTGCTGGAGATGCATAGTCTTTGAAACCCAAAATATAGAATTCATTAGGATTTTAAATTACTGGCCTCATTTTTGAGTATTTGTGACATCCCTGTTGCACACAAAACACCATATGTGCTATATTACAGTTACAGTAAAGTTGTGTCTTGTGTGAATTTTATTTCCCAGCATGACGGTCCTGTGTTTTTGAACTATGCTATGAATAGAAAACACTGAGACCAATTTACAGAAAGTGGTTTATTAAATATGATTAATTGTATTAGTCCCACAGGCTGCTTGAATAGATGATGTGGTGTCTCTGTCCACAGCCATTAAATATTTGTGATTTGTAATTTTGAGCTAAATAAATGTCATTGACTTGATGACACATAGTCACAACAATAAACGCTATAACAAAGTCAAGGCTAAAATTTCCTGTGTCAAAAATATCATTGGAAATGTAGTCTCTGGCAACTACCTTTTGGATACTGGCTGCCTACAAAAAAATAACAACACATGATTTGTGAATTGTCTGTTGTCCTGCAGCTTTTGCTTCACTGGAATCTGGTGTTTGTAGTCCCCTTACGCCTCTGCGTCTTCAGGTGGGTTTCATCTCAATCTTAAGACACATACTGAAGTGCAGCAGAAAATGAAACCAATACGAAATCAAGTGTGAGAGTTAAAGTTTGAATATGTGCTGAAGCTGGCATTTTACCACCAGTTTTATTTTCACTGCCTGTGAGTTTTAGAGTGTGTTGACTACAAATTCCTGTAATTCTTTGAGCTAATCAGTGAGTGAGTGGCATTAGGGTGGAAATGGATCAAGTCACTTTGCTGCTTGTTGCTTTGACTCATTTTGACTTGCTGCTTACTAAAGTGAGCAACACAAAATGGAAAATACTGCTTAACCAAGTAGTTTGAATTAGTCCTATCAGACTTTACATATTTGTTCATTCCTTGAGAATTGTTCAGCTTGTGTACAATAGTAACCTTCTCATTTTGGGTCAAACAGTTTATTGCAGTGTAACTTTTCTCAAGTGCTGATGAGCTGATGAGTTACATCAAAAAAGGAAGTACAATTCTTAGGAAGCCACAGAATAGCAGCTGACAGCCGAATAGAAAAATAACCAAAGCAAAATTAGGGGAAATTCTTCTCTAAGTAGATTTTCAGTCATCCAGGTAATACCCAGTGCTTTAACAGAAGCAACCCATCTTCTGTTTTTGCTTATTTGACACGAGAAGCTCAGTTCTATGTGACTGGTGGGAAGTCCCGGTTCTATATTCTCACACAAAGATCACATGGACTCAACAACAAGTTAACAGACCATGTAAGTTTGGGGTCAGAATAAATTCCTGGAACTGCCCACCAGTCATTTAGGACTGTGGAAGGAACCTCGAAAGAAAAGTAAATTGTCTAACACCGAAAAAAAAGAGAAGTACGGTTGTCTTTCTCTGAAGTGCTGTGGTGGGAAATTCTGTCATACATTCTGGTTATAGCAAATCATAGAAGAGCAGTAAAGGCATCATGATTGCTGCAGCAGCTTAAAGAGGAACGTTAGCACTAAAACAAGATGCCTCGTACTATCTGATTGTTTCAGAAAATGTGGCCAGTAAATACCATTTCTATTAAAGCTCTGGGTGCCAAGACTAATGCATTGTGTTTTACAATGAACTCCCCAGAACATAAACATCTTTTTTTCCCCCACAATTTGGGATGTTTTTCAAACATTAACTGCTTTATTAAATTATTTTTTACACTGACGCAAAGTCAACACATCAAAGTCAGCAACATCGCAATAAACATACCCCTGGTTAGGAAAAACACACATAGGGGCATCTGACTCTGTGAATCATTAATAGACACAAATGGGCTTAAACTTGCCAAATCCTAAAGGAAATGTATGTGCATTTGTATTGTGGTCTGTATGTGGTCAGAAGAGATTAAAATGTCAATGTTTTCAGGTTACAAAGTGTCTTGTCACTACATTAATCAGTGTTGTTATGGGAAATAAATCATCTGTAATTTAACAAAAGGACAATAACTTGAAAAGTCACTGAAAACACAAAAAATAACTAAATGTTAAACAATAACCAACTGCAGGGCCAACCTACTTTTATTTTCTGTCACTTCTGCAGACTACTCTGTGTATAGTAAAGCAAAAATGAAAACTTGCGAAATTGAAAGTGGACTAAGATAGGTTTTGTTTCAGGATTACACATACAAACAAATCATAGCTGATTGTCAGCGGTCACTGTCAGGGTTCACCTCTCACCTACATCTGTTGTCAAATGAAGGCCAACTTGTTGAGCGGCCTAGTCACACATACAAGACACAACCAGGGAATTTATTGGCTTGTAGGAGGTTAATCATTATGGCACTGAGGGGATCAGACTTGCTCTGGACTGTTACATTTCCTGAGGCTTCTACGTTCATGTCCTCGGTACTTCCTTTCTCATTTGGCTTTGATGTGACCTGCATTTTTATTTCATTTTCGGCATACGTCTCCTTTCTTAGAAATGACCAAAGTAAAGTCCGAATCGGAGAGTCGGAGCGACGAAGCCGAGGGTCCGGATGGAGGCTGGGGCTGGGTGCTGCTCGGCGCTCTGTTTATCAGCACGAGCCTCGTGTTCGGCCTGATGCGGAGCTTGGGGATCTTCTTTGTGGAGTTCGTCCAGTACTTTGAGGAAAGCGCTCAGGCTGTCTCCTGGATCTCATCCACCGGCTTAGCAGCACAGCAGTTTTTCAGTGAGTCACTAATGCATGAATGTGCTGTTTGTAATGGTGCAGCTTTTGGCTGTGTTTTTCATTGATTATTTTGCTGCTTATTTTTGCCATGTTTCTAATCAGATAGTAAAAAAAGTGTGAAAAATGTAGAATTTCACCACATCCCAAGCTAATGTCTTAAAATTCTAAAAAAAAATCAAAGTTTTTTTTTTTTTACGTCCATATAACACTGAGAAAAACAGCAAATCTTTACAAAAGCTTCAAGAAGCTAGATCCAGTGCATGTTTCTTGACATATTACCTAAATTAATAATCATTAAGCAATGCCATGTACACAAGGCACCATGTTTATATGACCCCGCCATATAAACATGGTGCCTTTGATAATAAAAGTGTAAAACACAGAACAGGGTTAACAAAGAGGAAGAACAGATTGATGCAGAATGAATGTGATGGTGTGTGGAATAAGATGATTTTGACCATCTTTAAGCTGCTCTGAGAGAGAGCGATCACCTTGTTGAGATGTGTGTGTGTTTGTTTTCCAGGTCCGCTGGGTGCAGCGCTGTGTAATGCATATAATGCCAGGCTGGTAGTGATGGCAGGGGGCTTTCTTGCTGGGTTAGGCCTCATACTGGCCTCGCAAGCCACCTGCCTTGCTCATCTCTATCTCACAATGGGTGTAATTTCAGGTAATATGTCTGCAAGTCAGGCCTGGTGATGGGTCAGGAAGATATATATTTGTCTAACAAGTCTAATATATATCTAGTGTGCTAAGTTATGAATAACTCTTTAGCTTAGAGCCCAACGCTTTCATTTTGGTACAGTTGTGGAGTGTTTTTTAGGTGGAAATTAAAAAGATAGACAAGGGCTTTAGGAGTTCATCTGTTTTAACTTTTTAATCCTCTGAACCCCAAAGAGATTCTGTTCATTTTTTACTCCAGTCACATCTTTTACTTCTGTCACATTTTACCCACTTTGTGATTTTTTCACTGCAGTATAATGGCCTCCACATACAGTCCCTGAAATTTGGTTATGGGACAGTTGTTTTGAGCTGAATGCAGTTTTTTTTTTTTTTAATTTTTTGTGGAATCTGGTTAGAACAAGCAGGTTATTTTGGGCAATTTTTCGAATGAGAAATGTAGAATAAAGTGATTTTTATGAAATATCTCAAATTAAGCCTTAAAATGATTAATTTTACATTCGAAACTCCAAAATCTCATGATCTCTGGGGTTTTGGGGTTCACAGGGTTACAGAATGTATTGCTGATGATCTGTAACCTCTCACAGTTTCACTTTACTTCGCTGTCCTCCAGGTTTGGGCTGGGGCCTGGTCTTTACTCCCATGGTGGCCACAGTCATGGCAAGCTTTACCCGCCGGCGCACCTTGGCTTTGGGACTGGCGTTCTCCAGCATTGGCCTGTCTTCATTTGCCTTTAACCCACTCTTCCAGCTGCTGGTGGAGATGTACACCTGGCGAGGAGCCCTGCTGATTTTGGGAGGCCTCAGCCTCAACATTGTGGCCTGCGGGGCGCTCATACGTCCAAAGCCGCGCTCTGAAGCCCCAGCCAAGGTAAACCAGATGGAGGAGCCTGGATATAAAAGCATACATTAGTCTGTAGCTGTAGCACACAATGACTCCTCTACTGTTTTTTTTTTTTTAGTCTAAAGTGTGTCTTAATGCTTTTTGAAACTGTCTGAGAAAGATACTAAAGAAACATCAGAGGCATTGGGTGACACATGAAGATGAATCTAAGCATTTCCTATTTTCCTTCCCTGCAGGTGGATCCAGAGAGCAAGTCATCATGTGTTGCTCAGCTGCAGCGAGTCTCCAACTACCTGGAGCTGTCCCTGCTCTTCGAGAGGCCTTATGTCACCTACACCTTAGCTATCTCTCTTTTAAACGTGGGCTACTTTGTGCCATATTTCCATTTGGTGGCCCATAGCCGCCAAGCCGGCTTCTCTGAGTACCAAGCTGCTTTTGTCATGTCCGCTGCAGGAGCTACAGACATTCTGGGCCGTGTAGTGTCAGGCTGGTTCGCTGACCTGCACCACTTTCGGCTAATTCATTTACTAAGCCTGTGGACAGCTCTGGCAGGTGTATTCATCATGCTGCTGCCTGTGAGCTCCTTGTCTGGGTCCTACATTGCGCTGGTGGTGATCGGTCTCCTGTATGGATTCTGCTCCGGGGCTTTGACCTCTCTGGCATTCGCGGTGGTGCCTATGATTGTGGGCGTGGAGCGCATGATGGGGGCCCTCGGGCTGCTGCAGCTCATTGAAAGCAGTGCAGGACTGCTTGGGACTCCTCTGTCAGGTAAGACTGTGGAGAATGATTAACAGCTAAAGAGTTAGAGGAGACAAATACTCTCATGAGACCATTAAAAATGTTTTGTTTTTTTATACATAACACCACCATATCTTTAGTTTGCAGGTTAGGTTGCCCTGTGTTTGATTGTATCTGTCAGTGTAGGTCATTGTACCTTGTTTCATGTTATCAGAAACGACCATCCATAAACAGAAGTTAACACACTGAAGCTTGAAGTAGTTAACTATTGAGAGGACAAATATGGGTCACTCAGTTCTTATGCTCCTCGCTGTATTCTCAACCTTAACACACAGCTACAAATTATGATCAGTGGATACAAACTACAAAGTAAACACTGCTTTCTCAGGTAAACTCTGGTGGTACAGTCCTCCTCAAATGTATTCAGACCCTTCCATTAAAGA